AAAATCTCGTTATTTAAAGGTTTTTTTAGAAGTTTCCAGCTACTCAAGATTATAACAAAATAGAGTGGAGCACTGGAACCTAACTTACAGACATACTTCAAATCTCCGCGTACATCGTACGGGTTAGGCAAAGAGTGTGCGTTTGACTTGCACTGTCGCATTAATGGCCCTTCGCTCATTTTCATACTGCTAACGGAACTAGCTACCTACCCTCTTCTAAGATCATTCTCTAGCTAATAAATTATCACACTAAAGCTTCATGTTAGATAGCATTTCCAACCAACTCTTTAAAATATTATTTATTGAATTTTGTATTAATTTCATAAAATTCATAAATAATTCGATTTCAAATTATTTTCTTTAATACGTCAAACCATTCCTAGGCTTGTTGATGAGTTTCAATAGACTAACCAAGTTCTGAAAATAATGTTTTTAAAAGTCCTGAATTTTCTAGAATGTAAACAAATCATGAGTACGAAATCTTGCAAATAATTCTTGTTTAGAATATTAAGCTTATTAATAAATCCAGAAATAGTCAAAACTCAAATGATCTAAAATCATATTATTTAAACCTTGGATTTTAATAAAAAGCTAAGCCCGCAAGTCCGCGAGCCGTCTGTGAAGTTGTAAAGGAAAAAAAAACTAAACGTTGAAACTTAAATACGTCCTAGAACCTTGAAGAAATCCGGAGCTTTGGGCGAACTTGCTTTTGTAAACAAACACGTCAATCGCCGATTTTTCACGAATAAAAGCTTAAACCAAATGAAATAAGAGTCATTCCTCTACGCAGGGATCGACTAAAAACTCAGAGTGGTGCAAAAAGCACTGGTGCTACTCTAAAATAAGGGAGCGCGTCCCTTATATTTGGAAGGAGAAAGAGGCTAAGGAGAGAGATTTCATATTTAGGAGAGAGTAGTTGGACAGCTCAGGTGCTGCTTGCGTATAAAGGGTGTCCACGATGAAATTGCCACACTATGAAATTGCTCTAACTTTTTAACCGTTGGGTAGAATTTAATGAAAATTTGGGTTGATTTAGTTCATAGTGCATTATTTACATCCTGCAAGTTTTAAAGTCCTGTGATCAAAACTCGTGGAAATGGAGTCGAAAGAACAGCTCGTGCGTGATAAAATCTTGCGCATTCATCACGAGAACAAGGATCTCTCGCATCGTTCCATCGCTAAAACGTTGGGAATCGCGAATTCCACGGTGTCGCGAGTGATTAAGCGGTTCGAGGAACGGTTGACCACCGATCGGAAGCCCAGAAGTGAAGGAAAAAGTATTCCGTACAACACCAAAAATCACAACCGCGTAGTTGGGGCCTTCAACCGAAATCCGAACGCCTCCGTTAGGGATGTGGCTAAGAAGCTGCACCTAAGCCGAAGTTTTGTCCAGAAGGCCAAAACTAAGGCTGGGCTTCGAACGTTCAAGGTACAAAAGGCCCCTAATCGCGACGAGAAGCAGAACAAGTTCGCCAAAACCCGTGCCAGGAAGTTGTACCTCAACATGCTGACGAAAGTTGAATGCTGCATCATGGACGACGAAACATATATGAAGGCCGACTTCAAACAGATCCCCGGCAACCTGTTTTTCACGGCCAAGGATAAGTTCAGCGTTCCGGAGCATGTCCGCACTCAGAAGATGTCCAAATTTGCGAAGAAATTCCTGGTTTGGCAAGCCATCTGCACGTGCGGGAAGCGGAGTGCACCTTTCGTGACCCAGGACACGATGAACGGACAGGTGTACATAAAAGAGTGCCTCCAGAAGCGGCTGCTTCCTCTCCTGAAGGCCCACAACGTCCCAACAATCTTCTGGCCGGATTTGGCCTCATGCCACTACTCCAAGGACGTGCTGAAGTGGTATGCGGCCAATAAGGTCAATTTCGTGCCGAAAATGTTCAACCCTCCCAACACTCCGGAGCTCCGCCCCATCGAGAAGTACTGGGCGATTATGAAGCAGCACCTTCTTAAACGACCTAAGGTAGTGAAGACAGTCGAGGAACTGAAGAAAGTATGGGTTTACATGCAAAAAACGGTTGATTCACAGGTTGTGCAGAATCTTATGGCCGGGGTTAAGGCCAAGGTGCGGGCATTTGCGTATGGACTGTAAATAAAATACGAGTAAAATGGTAAAATGAAGTTTAATAGTTATTTCTCAATCCCTGAAAATTTGATGGCAATCGGATGAAAACTCGAATTTTGCGAATCAATTTTGTGTGTGGCAATTTCATCGTGGACACCCTTTAGCACAATCGAGTAGTGCACGGTGTTATGACGGGAGTAGCACTTTTCAACCGGGAGAGACGTGGCTTAGAGATTTCAATTGATCCGACAGCGGGTCGACATGTCTGTTCGGGGCCATTTTGCTGGGTTTCTTCCATACTCCACTGTCGAATATCAAATGAAAGTGAGTGACTCAATTGACAGTGACGATGAGGTTCGAATGAGAAAGGGGCTCTTCAAATGATGGGCACGAGAGAATTCTTTTTCACAGAATCGATTGAATAGTTGTATTGGTTCATCTTCAATCGAATAATATGAAAATTAACAGCACTGCCTGTAGCCCGTCCGTCGATGGTGAGGCTCTTCGAGGTTGGAGTTCCTGCGTGGTACACTCAAAGGAACGTCAACGGTCCGACCAAGGGCAATCTTGATCTCGACTTCTCCGATCGGTCTGCTTCCTGTCTGGGAGATATGGTTCAGCCACTGTTCAAATAGTACCACGTGGTCTCGCACAGCATCAAATCTAGCATTGCTAGCTATCCTACAACGCTACAGTTATAGAGAAAGTACACTGTCGGAGAAACAAAGAGAGAGAAAGAGACTTAACACCGTTGGACCGGCAGCTCTCCAATACAAGAAGAATGAAATGTGCTGCCCAATTTAAAATGATCTTTCACGTCTCTTTGGAAATGAAAGTGCATTCTCGCAACCGCGTGTCATTTACTCGCGAAAAATTGAGTAGCACCCGATCCCTACCTCTACCTGTCTGTGTTATTAGTTTTAGAGATTGAGCTTTAATTCAAGAGAAATCGGCGATTGGCGTGGTTGTTTGCAAAAGCAATGACGCCCTAATCTCGATTTTTTTCCGAAAATGGTTCATGTCTTGGATCTCTAAAAAATTTTTGGAGTCCCAAGAACTTTTCCTTGGATTTAAATTGTTCAAACCTAACCCTTCTTAAAGAAATCATTGCTTCACTTTCCTACATGATTGGTGATAATATTATAGTTTGTAATGCAGTTATGAAATATTTCCCTGAGAATCCCAGAGTTTCCAGATCAAAAATTTAATTCCCTGAGATTATCTGATTTTGTAGGTTTTTCCCAGGTAGTCGACACCCGATATAAATCTCCCTCTCTAAATTCAAAATTGCCGCACCGCAGAGCCGCACTCGGTGTTTTCATTGAAGGTGCACTTGAGAGCATTCTCGAGTGCACCTTCAGTAAAAACACAGAATGTGGCTCTTAATCTCTTCTGCATCGCATCGTTTATCGCTTATTAGCTTATTGCGGCTCTCAACTTAGTGTTCTAGATGCACTTACACAGTTAATAATTGAGAGCATTCGATGCCTGTACCTTTTTTGCATTAGCATAATTGTGTGGCAAAGACAACCACACACTTAGAAAAATGCATGCACATTTAGGTGCTCTGAAATTCAGTTCAATCAAACGTTCCTTTGGTCGAGTATCGAGCTTTGCAGTCCCTAAGCATTTAATTTTACATGACACGTTTGTTTACTACTCATCCTTTATGTCTGAGATGGATTCCATTACGTGTAAAATTAATTATTTATAAATATGTACTCTATGCCCAGGGGAGTCGAAAAATTCCTAAACCGAACCGGGAATCGAACCTAGCCACCTCCAGCGTGACCTTACTTTGTAGCTGCGCCTTTACCGAATGAGTTGAGGGAGGCCTCGTGTGGAAGTTTGGATAGGTCAATAGTTCAAAAAATTCATGGTTTTATGAATGTTTGTTAATACACTGCTTTCCCGATTTTGTCAGCCCCTTCTCAAATTTCCCATTTCTTTTTAGATCAAAACTATTACAGAATAATGAAATCCCTTGGGATGCTATGACCAACAGCGCTTATTTACGTTTTTTTTTTGCAAAACAAATTTAATGGAGTTTCACCCATAATCACTAGAAGAGCTGCAGAACAGTCATCATCTCAGTGTTCACTCGGCTGTCGACAACAGCAGGCCACTCTCGATGTGTGCCACGCGATCGTCTGTTTTCTCGGCAGGAACCATTGTTCTTCATCAGCAGTTCTTTCGGTCGATGCGTCGTCGACTTTGGAAAGCAACCGTTTCGTAATGAGTGTGTGAGTGCTAACCACGTTTTGCGTCCATTGCTGCAATGGAAGCACTGTGCGGCTCCCGTTCTCGTGGAGGAGGCTTATTGGATAGCGGAAGATAAAATGTTTATTGTGTTATACCTTTTGACTTAGTTTTAAGATGTATTGTATATAGTGAACAAGAATTCTCGGCTCTGTAAAGTTAATTCGGTTGAGCCTTATCAAATAAATTAATAAACAAGAACAGTCATCAGGGAAATTCTTTATATCAATTAGTCTTTTAATAGCACGAGAAAAAACGCTGTTGGTCATATAACGCCAGGGTGCGTTTTACCCCACTTTGTCCTACATATGGCTATTATGTGTAAAGACTCTTCTAAACCATCAAATAAATAGAATTTTTCTTTGACGATAATGAAATATGTATCAACTTTCAAAGCAGACAAAAGGGGGGGGTCAAAAAGCCAGACTAGTATTGACGTTTGCACGGGGTGGTATCCACTAGTTGCCTAGTGTAGCTCCACTAAAGCCCATTCCTTACTCCTCCTCTGCCTGGATCCCCCCGGGACCATGCTGAAGCGATTACTTCGAGGGGGCTGGCACTTCTCAAACTCTCAGTGCTAGCTGGCGTTGCTAGATCGCTGCTCCTCTCTCCATTCCAAGTGCCTTCCTCTGGACACATTTCATCGACGACATTCTCCACGTTAAGGACAGGCATCTCCCTTCGCACTGTCTCGAACCTTGGGCAGTCGAAGACCACATGCACACGACGTTTCATCCACGTTGCCACACTCCGGACAGAGGGGTGACGCTGCGTGTCCGAACCGATGCAGGTATTTCCTGAGGCAGCCGTGGCCAGACAGGAACTGCGTCCGGTGGTGGTTGAATTCTCCGTGTTTTCTGTTTACCTAGGTTGAAAGAATCGGTTATAACTGATGTGTCCATCTACCGTTATGTACCGTTATCTTTCCGTACTCTACCGGCTTCTCTTGGACTGTACCACTCGCTATCATCCACCGCGTGATGCCGATAGGGATCATTCCGGCGATAGCGCATACTGCTTCCGATGAGATGGTTCTGTACGCACTCACGACTCGCATGGCCATGAGCTTGCTTCGTTTCCAGTACTGCAAAACGGGCTGGACCTCCATACCTCAATATCTAGCCAGAAGACGCCTCTTGATATTGCTGGGAATAGAGTTGTTCAGCATGATTCTAGCTATTGTGTTGATGGCCTTCCAAGCATTGCCACAGACATATTCGACGTGACTGTTGAAGTTTATTCGGTCATCGATCATCACTCCCAGGTATTTCAACACGCGCTTCGAGGCAAAGGTGTGCGATACGTAGATACGTATTTCGACTACAATGTGCAGTCTTCATCAGTGTCATTCCCACTAAAGAACTTATCAAAATCTAACCCCCTTATGATCTTGACTTTTTTACCTAGGGGATGAGTACTTAAGGGGGTTAGATTTTGATAAGTTCTTTAGTGGGAATGACACTGATGAAGACTGCACATTGTAGTCGAAATACGTATCTGTCATGGATACCAAAATTAATTAAGTGGAATTAAATGGAAGATAACCTTTTTTGCTGTTTTATTTAGCATTCCGCTAACAACCCAATTTCATTACTTCATATTTCCAAAGACACTATGAGCAATAGACCTGTTCATTTTAAACGAAATGTTCGGAATGTAACGGGTCAACCGTGATTACTGTTCGTCATGTTAATTTGAACTTCTGTGCAAATTTTCAGCAAAATCGGTGATGATTTAGAGGTGCTTCAAGTTAATTTTATGTTTTTAAGGTAATTTATGGCTTACAATATTTGTATCTCGAGACTGAAACAACGAAAACTGCTGTAACAACTTTCATAGCAAAGTTTAATGTGTTATGTATCAACTTTGTAACCAAAGGTTGACTATTCGAAGTGATTTTATTGAAGTTTGACTTAGTTTCATGCTCGAAGATATCTTAAAATGTGAAGAATTTTAAAGTATTTGTTCTACGAATTTTCCACCCATATGATATAAAATGTATAGTCTACGGCATAATGTTCCTCATATTGTTCTAGAAGTTTCGTTCAAACATAGTTTTCGTGTATATTTCATAGATTGAGAAATAAAAATCAGAAAAGAGGCCGTTTAGCTAAAATTCACAAGACAACAGAGCCAATAAAAGTCAATTAGATTGACAGAACATAGTTGCATTACTTTTCAATGACGGCCGATGACTGTTTCATTGATATATGATTTTTCCATAACTATGAATCCTCAGTAGACGTGTTTTTTTTTTATCAAAGGCAAGTGTCACTCGAGCCATTCAAAATATTCGTTATTTTATAAATTGCTGTTATGGTTCGAGTTTCACTTGCCTTTGATAAAAAACACGTCTACTGAGGATTCATATTTATGAAAAAATCATATATCAATGAAACAGTCATCGGTCGTCATTGAAAAGCAATGCAACTATGTTCTGTCAATCTAATTGACTTTTATTGGTTCTGTTGTCTTGTGAATTTTAGCTAAAACGGCCTCTTTTCTGATTTTTATCTCTCAATCTATGAAATAAACACGAAAACTATGTTGGAATGAAACTTCTAGAACAATATGAGGTAATCACGGTTGACCCGTTACATTCCGAACATTTCGTTTAAAATGAACAGGTCTAATGAGCAAGCATGGGAAAAATCGTTCAATTTTGCATTAACTGCTCACTCACACGCTTACAACATCAGAAACGAACAGCAGCTTGTGCGAGCCGCACTGATTTCGTTCGTATTGGCATTGCTTCTATTTTCTTCGATGAACGCAGAACAGATAGCTGAGCGTAACATGAATGATTCTGAGTGTAGTAGTGTGGATGATTCCTCTCTTATTATTTTTTCCATGCTGAGCCTTTTACGATTGCATTCAGCTGAGTGAGCTGAATGAGAATTTTACAGAAAGAATCACTTTTTATTTTCTAGCTTCAAACTTACATATAAATCACTATTAATGTTGAGAAAACTGTTATCCTGTAACACATAAACATAAGCGTCATGCAAATAACATAAAACTGCTGTGGCCAATTCAACTGATTTAAATCAGTGAGCCAAAAAATAACTGACTCGGCTATTTAAATCGTTAGCATTCGGATTTTACGCATTCAATCTGGTTCTCTCTCGCTAGAGAAAATTGTTCGGCTGCCTTTCAGTGTATCCTTCTTTCCTTCTACTGCTGTCAGTTCTGAGTCGAGCTGCAGAGTCACTTGGTGGAAGAATTTACACTCGTTCGGCAATCTGTTTGTAGGTGAGGATTGCTATTTTGATTCTATGGTGCGATGAGTATACTATAGTGCTATAAGAGAATCAGAAGAAATTCCCAAGGAAATACTAAGGAGAGTTTCAAGATAAATTTAAGTGATCCTCTTAAGGGCATTTTGTGAAGAATTTTGAGGTGAAATCCAAGGAAATTTTTGGATAATTCTAAATGGCATATCAAGAGATTTCCGAGGCATATTCCAAGGGAATTCTATGGAAAATTATGGAGAAAAATTAAACAAACTAATCATGCTTCTACATCAATTTTCCTTCAAATGTCACTGGTGCTCTTAAGGAGAAGTTCACCGCAATAACGTTTTTGATCACATTTTTTTTTCAAATTTTTTAAAGAAAATTCACGTGAACCTTTCGGTTTTGCTGAGAGTCCAATTTTTTTCATGATGAGATAGAAAAAATATGTTTGCATGTAAATATTCTCAAGAATCTAAGGATTTTTGATATTTTTTCCCAATATATTTAGAAAAATAAAAACGTGCCGAAAAAAATATTTTCGGGGCAGTGAACTTCCCCTTAATGGTTACATCTACCAGAAATTACGCATATACTTAGTTCCGTTAATTTTTAACAGAGGGCAGTGCGGTCAAAACATGTATGGTACCTCTATATATGCATTTATAATAACAGCCGAAGTCCCTCCTTTTTCTGCACACAAAATACTTTCGAAGCCCCGCCCCTAACAGGATTTCCTGTCGTTTTTTTTATGAATGGGATGCGGCATAAAGTATGTGCAGAATATCTAAAAAAAGAGGGACTTCGGATCAGGATGGCCATACCTACCGATTTATCGGTAGTCCTACCGATTTTCGACGAACCGACGAATAGACGAACCGATTTTACACTTCTCCTACCGAAAATTACAGATTTTAAGTAATCTTGAAAAATGTTCAATATCTATATTTTGTTTTCCGTGTGTCTTATTTAAAATAGTTCCAGTGTAACAAAATTGACGAAATTTTGGATTTCGGTTCCATTTTAATGCAGATAACGAATATGTATTTACCTTAATACCCCTAAACAACCCAATTTGATCGAACGCGATGCGTTTTGCAAAGGATGAGTTTTTTTACGTTTAATCGACTTTCTCTGTCTGTCTCCTAGCGGAGATGCTATTTTCTGTTTCTTCCTTTTTATGGTTCCGTATTGTTATGATTAGACTAGAGTCGGTGTATATTGAGTCAGGCAGAGAGATAAACAGTTGAATTCGCATCACGGTTTTCGAAAGATTCCCTTTCTTTTCACTTGGCAATAGAGGACTTCTACATCAACTTCAAATGACTTCTAGCGAGGAAAAAAATAGCGGCTGTATATCAGTGATTTTGTCAAATTATCTTTAAAAAAAATAGTAGAAATTCTCATTACTGATCATTACCAAACGTATCACATGATAATTTAACGTTCACTGCGTGTTTATGATCGTGTCTTCGATTATATTGTTGTGTATTGACGATTGTTGTGTATTCAGAACGCTTGCGCAAAAAGACTAAGGGAGGGAAACGGATTCGAAACTCATATGTCATTAGCCAAATACATCCGTAGACCATAGGTCCACCGTTGTATAATTGGCAATGCACCCGTGTACTGAATGGGAATTGTGGGTTCGAATCCCACCGGTGCCCTTAGATTTTTTCGCAAATTTTCTCACACGCACGTCTCTTGCCGATGATATGTGCTAACCTCTCAGTATCTTCTAACTGTCGCATATAACAAATAAAAATTGACTTTCAGTCGCTAACCTAAATCGAAAATTATATTTTATATTTTATTGCAATTCGTGGACCTTTCATAGCATCGTAATTTTTGTTTAGTTTGCACGATAGATAGCCGGTTTGACAGTTCAATAGGTAGACTTGGACTTGGACTTCACTTTCGGCGTGACTCATTATACACCGAGTCTAGATTAGACTATCCAATGTGTGAGGTTGAAGGACTGATTGCTCGGTTTGAAATTGCGCGTGATTTGTTTTCATCCTTCCCCCGCTCACAAAAGTTTCAAGTTTCGGGAAGCCTTCTTAAGACGACCTACCGATAACTACCGATAAAAGTTTTGAGAAGCTACCGAAAATGAAAAAAAAAAATAATCTGGCCACCCTGCTTCGGATGTTAATCTAAATGTATATATATAGAAGTACAAGACATGTTTTGCAGTGTCAGGTACTCTATTGTGAAGTCTGTGAGAGGGAAATAACAAATACAGTATCTTCAAAATACATGGCACGATGAAGATGAGCTCGTGAGAGCGAATTTTCTTTCTCAAATTTAATTTTTTCGGCTCTCTTGGTTGACTGGTAGTAAAGCAGGTAAAACTGTATGGGAAAAATTTATATTTTTATTTAATTGTAGCTTGATTAACAATAATTTCCGGGAAATAAGTGAACGACAAAGTCCATGAATAATTTCTGAATTTGAATCGAAAGCGAATTATTCCCACTTCTCTCAATTTCTATATGGAAAGTTTGATAACTTCCTACCAGCAGAACAACGCCATTTCTGTGGAAATGGCCTGACGATATAATTCATTCTAGTGAGAATTATTAAGAATGCGACGATAAATGAAGAGTTTTCTGCCAGAGTTCCGAGAGTGTTGTGGAAAATCATAAGATTATTGAGGGAAATCCTGATAGTAAAAGTAATTCTGAAGACTTTTTCGAATACTCCCAAGCAAATCCTTGACAAATTTTCAAAGATATCCAGAGATGAGTTCCTATGAAAGAATTTAGTAAATTCAAACATTGAAAAATTCTTAAGATTCTGAAACTTCGATTGGAAACAAATTTCAAGATCCTAGTCTTAGAAATTTCTGAAAAGTGTAACAGTAGGGTATGTGAGAAAAATCCTCTATGGACGGGCATTCAATATCCCAACAATAGAGGAATTCGGAAGGGAAGTAAAGCCGTTGGTCCCCGGTTCATGAGTTGATGGGTCGATAGGTAGCGTAAAGGTGTGGGAGCTACCTCCCTGGCGTCGGTTGCATTGGTGCTCAGCACGGAAAACAAGATCGACGGAAAACAAATCAAGGAAAAAAAACAATGGTAAAGACTGATGTAGGTTTAGAGGTCGCGCAAATGGGTTGAAGTTTGTATGAGGATTAATATAGAAGCAACTTCACAAGACCTGACCTCAAAATTAGCTAAGCTTGCCCTCGAAGTCCTTTATTATACGCCGAAGCCTTGTGGGTTTATAAATGAGGTGCTTCGAATTAACTCTCGAATATCGCTGGACCTGCTATTGAAGTTTCCCGAAACCATTTTTAAAGTTTGCTTTTTCCGAAAACGGTTTTTAGTTTAGCAATTTGATACTCTTTGTTAAAACAAAACAATAAAATACACACTACGAAAAAGTCATGTAAATTTCCGTGTGCTGAGACCGACACATGCAAGCGGCCCAAATGACATAAAAATAAGTTGAAAGAAACGAGAAAATCAATTCAATCAAGCGTACTTTTAGTCGAGTTGCGTATTTTTCAGTTTAGTAACACTTAATTTTACATGACATGTTTGTATACGTTCCATAATTTACGTCAAAGATGGATTACGTCTCGTGTAAAGATATTTATTTCTAAGTGTGTAGAACTGGTTACTTGATGTATCCTTTAAAACGAATGAAATATAGTGCCAAATTTAAACTCAACCCATTTGAACGGTTTACAGCCTTCTAAAACAACACAGCTCCACCTACGACACGTCCGGTAGCACCCTGAGTTGTGAAACAATGAAACGTTTCACATTACCAATCCTGTTAGCCCGCATCAGATTTGTTCCTCCACCCTGCAGCAGCACTTCCTCCAGTCCACAGCCGACACATTTATGATAAGCTGTCGTGATATGTACAACCTGTCAGTGTATTAGACTTCAATTTCCCCCGTCACGAACGCTTTCGACGGCGAAGGCTGCGAAAAATCGATACTTCTTCTCCACTAAAAGGTTCACCTTCCTCCGAAAAAGAAGTCAGGTGTCGCAGTACGTTGGCCATTTAACAAGACAAAAACAAAACTCTAGTTAGTCACCGAACCAACGGGAATTTCATATGCACCAGCAGCGATCTATATGCTGTTTACGATCGTCCTATGGGCGCGTGTATCACATATCAGTACATCGTTTTGTAGCCGGCTACTGTCTACTATCAGTCGTATACAAACAATTACGTAATATCAGAGACTAGCCGTGTCGCCGGATGTTTGTGAGGCTCACACTCTCCCACTATGCTCTAGGCAGGACGAAACTCTGCAGTTTAGTAGCTTGGCCACTAGGCTCTCTCAGTTCTCATTCACATGTTTGCCACTGACGTATTAAGGCAGGCGCACGTAGCAACTGAATTATACCATTTGAACGTCTACAAACGCCCATGGGATGGCTCCCTCTCCAATTCTTCCTAGAACGCTGAAACGGATGAGTCACAATTTTCCCCGAGCAAAGCATGAAGGTAAAAATCAATGATTTGCGTTTTCCTTTTTTTCGTTCTTCTCGTTACGAATCAACCATACACCGCATCTCGTATGACCGGAGGAAGCTGATTAGTGGTTGTTGGAATACGCACCATTTTAAAGAAGATTTGATGGTTTAAATATCCTTCATCTGCAATTCCAGCCAGCTCGACTCGGACGAAATAGAGACCACTCTATCCGAACGGCAAACTAATCGATAATAACGATGATGATGATGATGCTGCTGATGATGATGACGTTTGTGAAGATCTGGCCCGGCGAGAATGAGTGTGCAGGAGCCGCATCAAGACTGGATAGAAACCGGTTTCCAAGTTCACTTATTTCTTCAACTCCTTCGACGGTCTATCACTCTTCTCGAATCACACAGTCGACTATCGAGTATTATTATTCTCTCGATTTCCTTCCTCCTTCCACACACACATGTTTCTTGCACAGTTGAAAACCACAGAAATGGATTGTAATTTCATTAATTCCACTCCACTTTTTCGACAACCGTGCACATACACGCAGTAGCAACAGCAGCAGCACCCGTCGTATGTTGGCCTTTTCCGATATCGGTTTTCTTTCTTTCTCGCCCCTTTAACAATCACGTTTCTACTCACGAGATTCTCCAAGTCTCGTGTTGCGTTAAGATGGTCTATTTTGGTGGACGAACCACTTGACCAGGGCGAAGGTTTTTCGTCCGGTAATAACAACACTTGCACTCTAGATCCGCGAAACGCGCATATGCATCGCCAAAATACGAACGAACACGCACACTGACCCGCGCGGCTGACCTCTCGCAATCCGGTGCGGCACAGTATGTATCTCCGGTGGTGGGTGCTCAGGCTAAAAACGCTACGGTTACGTTCTACGCTCGACAACGTGTGACTACGTAATGAACCCGAAGAAAGTTACAGTCCACCGATTTCCACCAGCAAGCGCATTCGACAAACCTCAACCGGGGAGCATTGATGTTGTAGGTACATACCATCTACCCCGACAACAAACGGCTGCAGAAGCCGTGAGCTGAGCTGTGCTCTCTCTCTCTCTCGCTCGGCTTGCGGGTTTGTTTTTCTTTTTGCTGGGATAAATAGGGTTGGTCAACAAATGTGGAGAGGCGATAAATGTTTCGAATTTCGATTTAGTTTGACGATGCTCAAGCTCCAGATGGTAATGCCACTATTGTAAGAAGTAAGAGAAAGTCTGGCTGAGGATCCACCAACAATAGAAGGCTAAAACGATGTCTGCTGACGGATCTAAACGATAGAAAATGATATGATGATATGATACGGAACTACCACTCACTGTAGCAAGACTGCGGACTATTCTCGCTGTTCGACTTGATCTAGTTCAATAAGCTCTAATTGTACTCAATCTGCCCCTGTATTAAGGGCCAAAAACGGTTTAGGTTAATCCGTGTGCAACATCACCCACGTGCATCCACGGGATAAATCTGAGAAGAATCTACTTCCAACAACAGGATCTTACAACCGGTCGAAAAACAGGCCATCAAACAGGAGGATGCCCCAATAAGTGGGGAGAAGAGTCCGCCCTTTATTCGCGAAATGTTAATAAGGGAGTTGGCATTTCCACTCTCCCCATCCCCGGATCTAAACGATAGAACATGGCCACAAACTAGAAATGAAACAAGCTGGAATGATCTATTGTCGTATTTGCTGTTCTGTCCATCACTGTAGTGATGGACCGTTCTGTCTGTTCACCACTGAATTTCAATTTTATTATTCAAGTTTTTATACTTTTATTGGTCAATATTTTAAATCAAAATCCAGAGGCGTCCCACCGATGGATCACTACAAAGCTTGGAATTGCAAATACAACAATGTCTCGTGTGATAAGAACCTTCAAGGAGCATCTGAGTGCCCGAAGGAAGGAAGGGAGTGGTCGTGAAAGTGGTCCAATTCGCGAACCATCCTAACATGTCAATTTGAGATGTCACTACAAAGTCCATGCTGGGTTACATACAAAAACCCCCAAACCGGAATGAAAAGCAAAACATCATTGTGAAAAACCGCACCCGGAAACTTTACACAAAGTTGTTCACCATGATGGAAGACGAAGCTTACTTCAAGGCCGACTTCCGTCAACTTCCTGGGCAAGAATATTTCGTTGCCAACTCTAAGTTCGATGTTCCGGAGGATGTTCGAAAGAAGAAATTATCGAAATTTGCAAAGAAGTTCTTGATCTGGCAGGCGATTTGCGGATGTGGTGAAATAAGCGCAACCCTTCATCGCTTCCGGAACAATCAACGGCGTGATTTACACGGACGAGTACCTTACCCTAGCAGCACACTTGTCACTGAACGGTTCTCGTTAGTTGTATGTAACTTATTTCAGTCACAATCGAGTTGCAGTAACTTATTATGATGGAAGTGTGTTGCTTGGGTTAAGAAGCGTCTCTTGCCATTCATAAGGAAGCACAAAGGATCAAGTCTGTTTCGGCCTGATCTAGCATCCTGCCACTACGATCGAAACGGAACTCCACCCAATTGAAAAATTCTGAGCAATTATGAAGACGAAACTTCGCAAACATACTGAAACTATCAAAACAGAGCTGGAGTTGAAGAAAATTTGGGTGAAACGGGTACACGACGTTAGACATACGGTCGTTAGGCATACGGACGTTAGGCATAATGTACGATAGGCATAAACTACCCAATGAATTCCAGAAGGATGATAATGGGGACCGTATATTGATTGCTGACTTCGGTGACAATAATGAAAACCTTAATTTTTGGAAGTCATGAAAACTTGCGTCGTCTTGGACAGGCAAAGTATTGGGTTACAGATGGTACGTTTGCCACAGCTCCTTGTTTGTTTCGGCAACTCGTCACTGTTCATGGAAGTATCGCTCCCTCACATCAGCAGACGGTTCCGCTAGTTTTCATTCTGACAGAATCGTTGAATCGAAAGGTATGGCAGGAAATCCTGGAAGAAGCAGGTACGTTTTTTTGTTATGGAATGAAAAGTCACAGAATTCACCATTCTTCATTTCATGAGCTGTTCTTTGGCATCATATTTTATTCAACGTTGGCTGTTTTTTTGTTATTGAATGAAAAATCACAGAATTCACCATTCTTTATTTCATGTGCTGTTCTTTGAGGAAAACCTTTTCTTCTTTGACAATTGCAATATGTGTGTAAGAATATATTACAACAAATGTGTGATTTTGTTTATTTCTAGATGCGATTGATTTCAAGATATAGTTCAAAACTATGCTGAGTTTTCATTGCCAGATTACTTAACCGCTATCGCTACTAATCTTGGATCTAAGTAAATATGTAGCTACGTCACTTATGATATGATAAATAATGGATTCCAAACTGTGGTTATTAAATAAACTTTGTTTGTTTAACTTGTATCATTTTTTATTCAACGCTTAGCCTAATTTAACCATTGTTTACCATGCTCGAAACAGGTTTCTAGAGTTGCACAGCAGCAAGGTATTTTATGCCTAACGTCCATTATGCCTAACGTCCGTATGCCTAATAGGGTACACTCGGTGAAAACAACAAATACACTGAGAAAATCGGTTGTACAAAATTTGATGGGTGGAGTAATTCGGAATGAGAGACGAAATTGAATCAAACAAATTTTGGAAATCATAACTCATTAGCTACGACACGTAAATAGGTGAAATGGATGTAATGTCAGCCTAAATGCCCCTAATTTGGGCTTATGTATGGACCCTATGCCCCTAATTTGGGCTTATGTAGTTCTTTCCGTCTTTTTTTCTCCGGTGCTCGGCCTTCTCTTCATTCTGTATCCGCTATTTTTCGCAGTGTAGTCCACTATAACAAACTTATAGTAGTAGTCGATAAAAAATTATTATGGATTTAGTCGATAAAAAATCAAATTCTAGGGAACTGTGATAGGCGAAAAGTTGGCTTCGGCAATACCTTAACCTATTATCGTCAGGGGGGTAAACAACGTCCTTGAGAGCTCAATTTTCGCATGTGGATACATTGTGTTTCAGAGCAACTATTGGCCAAATTTGAGTGCTCTAAGACTTTGTTTACCCCCCTGACGATAATAGGTTAAGGTATTGTCGAAGCCAACATTTCCCCTAGTTACTTCATAAACGAAATTTCAGACAGTAGAAGGGACACAAAACACTTTAAAAAATCAAGATTGTAGGATTTCAAGATTTTTAAAATAGACAAATTCTTTAGAATGCAAAAATTCTGAAAATTTTTCATGATTCTAAACATTGAATAAATTCCATCTGAACTATGAATTTGCTCGTTGGAGATTTACGTAAACCCGCACTGAGACCACCCAACAAACAATTCAGAGTCACAAATAAGCATATAGGGGAAATGGATGTAATGTCGGCCTAAATGCCCCTAATTTGGGCCCATATATAAATTCAACAATCAATAGCGACCAAAAATATCCATCCCAATGACGCGTTAATCTAGATTAAATTGATAAATAGCAGATTTTTAGCGATGGGCCCAATCTTAGATCCATAGGCCAACATTAAAGCCATTTCCCCTATATTGAATTTTTCAATTTCGCGTAAAAAGCGACTCAAGTGTACAATGCGGAATAAAACGGGTTGTCGATTTGTTGTTCATTGAGATCGATAGATGCGCCTTTATTCCGTTGTTTGCTCTGATATGATTAATATACTTTTTAAAAGCTTTATAAATGTTGAAAGTCTTCCCGATTCAACACCAGAATTGATCAAACAACAAACTGAATAAGTGTAATTGGCACATAAATTGACGCTTCAATTCGAGTGTTTTCAATAGATTTAATAACATACTTTATTAGACGTCTTATAAATGTTTTCTACCTCCATTATTAGATTTAGAGGCAGAATTGGTCTTATGTAAAACAACCCACTTAACCTTGAAGGAACTAAAGAGTGTCCCACTTCAAACTGCATCACGGAAAAAACACTGTAGAAAATTACCCATTGGGTATTTTCTTTTGCAAACTTGGATAGAAGCAGTTTAGATTGTATTGTTTACACTGTATTTTTATCGCTGTCAGTTTTTCGAAAGTTAGAAAAAATGGCGTCACCCGAAAAGAACTTCGCGAATTGATTTTGCGCAAGCACCTGGACAATCCTCAACTCTCTCATCGGGACATCGGAAAACAACTCGGAATTTTGCAGTCAACGGTGAGTCGTGTGATTAAACGTTACTACGAAACTCTGAGCACCGAACGGAAGGAGAAATGCGGTCAGAATGGATGTTCTATTAGTGACCAGGATCACAAGCGTGTCGTGAAAGCGTTTAAGTGGAATCCCAATGCTTCGGTAAGGGATGTGGCCAAAAAGTTGAATCTGTCCAAGTCTTTCGTCAGAGAGCCAAGGACCGGGAGGGACTGCATACGTACAAAGTGCAGAAGGCTCCAAATCGTGATGAACGGCAAAATAGGCGGGAAATTCACGGGCCCGAAAACTGTGCACCCAGATGCTGACGAAGCCTCATTGTCTCATCATGGATTACGTCAAGGCGGACTTCTGGCAGCTTCCAGGGCTACTGTTCGTCACCGCCCACTACAAGTTTGATGTTCCGGAGAAAGTAAGGCAGCAGAAACCTCCAAAGTTTGCCAATAAATACATGATTTGGCAAACGATCTGCTCATGTGGCAAAAGGAGTGCGCCATTCGGGACTACCGGGACTGTAAACGAGGAGATCTACCTCAAGGAGTGTCTACAGAAGCGTCTGCTTCTTCTGTTGAAGCAACACGAGGGCCCTACGATCTTCTGGCCGGATCTAGCTTCGTCTTCTTCTTCTTCGCATTTCAAGCTTATTGCATATCGCATATTAGCTTATTGCGTGCTCTCAACTTAGTGTTGAGATGCACTTTCACAGTTATTAATTGAGAGCTTTCGATGCCTGTACCATTTTTGCATTGGTATAATTGTTTGGCAAGTCCAATCATACTTCTATGCCCAGGGAAGTCGACACATTTTCCAACCCGAAAAATTCCTAGACCGGCCCGGGAATTGAACCCAGCCACCTCCAGCATGATCTTGCTTTGTAGCTGCGCCTTTACCGACTGAGCTAAGAGAGGCCTAGCTTCGTGCCACTATTCAAATGTTGTCCTGGAGTGGCACGAAGTCAACGGGGTCACTTTCGTACCCAATAACATGCTACACATACATACTGTTTTCGCCATGCTCCATTCCTGTTTTTACTTTACCGACTGCCTACACGGAGAAGAATGAGTCTAGTTTGAAACAACCAAAAATATGGTTGAAGTTCAAATTAATATTCTTGTTGAATCAAAGTCAATATTTTTTGTTGCAAACCAGTGAGTTAATTTGAAATAAACGACTTTATCACCTGGTTTCTACCCATATAATCGTATTGTCTCAACATAAATTTTGGTTGATTCAAACTAAGGGTATAGTTATTTTCAAACATAAACAGATTTGTTTAAACCAAAACTTAGGTTGTTAGATACGTATTATCCTTAACTTTTATCTTTGTTTGAATCAACGTAGATGTTAGGTATAAACAAACTAAATTTTAGGTTGGGTAAATACCAACCTAAAAAATATTTGGAAACGAACCAACATATTAGTTTGTCACTTCTGAAATTGCTTGTTTGCTGGCAAATCGTTTTCAATCGCAAGTCGCATTTACAACGGTAATGTGTTTAAATTTCAGTGAAATAAGTGAATACTCGCCTAAATAATCTACGTCAAGGTAAGAAAATATGTTTTCGGTAAAGGTAATCCACTGTTCGAGAAGAAAACCTTTTAAAAAGGACGATTAGAATGACTTGTTACTGAACTAATGGTAAAACTTTTATCTTGCGAAGTTATCTTTTTACATCCGGATTTTCGTTTTGATTGGGAGTGTTGGGATGAATTGTGTATTTTAATGGAACCAGTGGTACGCCCTCAATGAAACATTTAACATATACAGAAATCATGTTCCGGAGAGACTGGTACCAATCAATTCAGTTTAGTGTTTTATTTAAAAGTACAGAAATTTTTCAAACAACGCGATGCGTTATTCAGTCCACCCACCCATGTGAGCATCCCGCACTCTGGTTCTGGACCTCCAGCCGCTCAAAAAAAAAACAACTGGTAGTAGGTTAAATAGCAGTATGATATTGATTTTTCCTCTAACCAACGGCCAGAAGTCCAAGCTGGAGAACATGATGGTCACTATGCCCCTCTTACTCCTATATTTGTTTGTATTTCAATAAAAAATGGCATATGCACATGTTCGTTTAGAGTAGCCATGAATGACGAAAAAAAGGCAGAACGGTTAGAAACTGGTTCCTCAGATGTTCTCGAACTCGGATGTTCTCGAAGACGATGTTAATGAGGAAGCTGACATATCGTACGAAGAAGTAAATTTCGAAAACCTCGCTCTCGTACAACTGCTGCAATCCTTCCGAGTGTCGATCGAAGTGATCAACAAGTTTCTTGGTAATATGTCAATCTCATTTATTCAATACATAACTTTAAGAATTGTTTTATAATGCAGTAAACGGATATGATTTGGAATCTCTCAAAATTATTGAAAGACAAGAAATTGAGGAACTTCTATGTGAACCGTACCTCGGAGATAGGACAAAGATTATCCATGGATTGAATTTTTGGAGAAAATCACAGGTAGCAACAGTTATTTTGCATTAAACAACAAAATTATGGAAAAGTGGAATTTAAACTTTTTTTTTAGAATCTACCGACCGTGTCCTCTCCACTGAAGTCACTTCATAATCTAACCCAGATTAAAAATCAACCGGAAAACATTAAACGAGAAAGTCTTTCAGCACAATTCCTTGTTAATAATTCTGCCAGAGGAAAACAAATCCTTGAGAACTACAGCTCATTACATATTCTGACAAAATCACACAAGAAAATAATAACACATATTGTGGTTGACGAATTCAAAGACAACTTCGGCAAACTCTCCCATAATGAACTTCTGAGTCGAGCATCTGAGTTGAATGAACTATTTCCATCTGAATCAAAGGTGATTAGGTTTCTTTTAAGTTATTTTTTATTTATTTCTTATAATTTAAACTACTCATCAAATAGTACATGTGCCATACAAAATATTGTTTCATACATTTTTTTTTCAGGACTCTTGGTACCAGCCAACATTTTCAATAATCGCAGGGAAAAAAATCAGAATTGGACGACTGCCGAAAGGATGCCTTTATGACAGAAATTGTAATTACACTAATCCCAAACCGATGCAACCGAAATCAAACGATAGTGAAAATATTACACCATCAAGTCCGTTCTCAGATGTCGATTGTAAGATAGTTTTATTTAAGGTCAAAGATTGCAATCTTACTATCGAAATTCATTTCAGGGGTTAAGTATCAACAAGCGAAGACGTGGATCAGACATCATCAAGACGAATGGCCTGCTGTAATGCAAAAATGGGCATCAACGTGGGCAATGTGGGCTTTTCGAAATATCGAAGATAGAGCAACGGTCGTGTGAATTAATTTTGGAATTATTCCCGGCTCTCAGTAAGCCAGACGGGTATCAACTAGCCCGAATCGATATAGACTCAAAGTTTCCAACAAAAAGTTCTGCTCTATTCGATAAATGGAATGAATTTATCATATCAGTGAAACCTATTATCGAGGCAGATGTGACTGATAAGTCTGGTAAAGTGATTCTTAGTTTGCTGGAAGGTGAATTGAACGAAGGTAAACGTTGTCTCAAATAATTTGAAATAAATTCATGTATTCTTTTGTGTTCAGATTGCCGGGATGCTACATACTCGTTGCTGATTCCATACATTCTACCGTGTGCTATACTAACCCTCTCGAATAAATCAAAGTGGAAACCCAGTTACATTGAAAATCGTAATAGTTTTGTGTTTTGGGTGAAGAATATAACGGACTTACAATCGAAAGTAGAAACCCACCACAAGTCACGTTCTAAGAATACGGGAATGCAACAGTGTCCATTGGTGATCGTCGTTGGACCTGATTTATCAACGTTGAACAGTTTCCTCGTATCCTTTGGAGGCGCTTTTTACCAGCTACCCACCTTCCTGGACATTTGCTACAAACTCTACAAGATTTACAACTTGTCATTTGCTCCGGAATGTTCAGGATCTTGGAATCTTCTTAATTACGTTATTTACGGGTTCCAGCTTGAAAGCGCTTGTAGAGCGAAAATAATTTCGATCAGTAGTGTGATCAACGCCAGAAGTTAAATATGTTCAATTGTCCATCATCAAAGTGCCGATGGAAGGGTGCTTGCATTGATCAATATTTTCCCCACGTCCAACGGATGCACGACCCTTTGAATGGATACATGTGCCTACACAACTGTGGCCGTTTACTGACATCAATCACTAGTCTACGAAAACACGTGTTATTATGCAGAGGTAATAGTACATCAAAAGAACAATCTATCAAGGAAACAATCAACCATTTTGAACAAAAACTATCTGTTACCTGCGACCAAAATAAAATTGAGGCCGAAAATCAAAGCAGCTCTAGAGAAAATGTTCAAAGCGAAATTGAAATCGGAAATCAAAGCAGTTCCAGAGAAAATGATCAAAATGAAATCGAAGTCAGAAATCAGCTCCAAGACTCTATTGATACTGGAAAACTTGTGACTGTTGATGCAAATAGATTGAGTTTGAGCATGACCTTGAAATGGCTTAGTGAAAATGGAATGGCAAGAAAAGTGGCATTTGACATCAATAGAGATATTAAACGGAATGTAATCGAGCCACTGAGTTCAGTAATTAACGATCTACAAATGGCTGGAGCTATGACAAATGAAGGTAAACAGTTGCTGGACACGATGCTTGGAAGCTATAATTGCACATCAGAGTATAAATTCATACAGCAGCTGAAAACAGATGGATTTTACGAGGACCCGACGTTTTTTACTATCAATGAAGAGCTACTTCTATCGTCTGCGTGTCTTGAACGGGTATTACATTTGTTTATTTCTTTAAGTACGAAAGTATCGATAATAAGTTTCATTTTTTTAGGGTCATGAACATATACAGGGAGTGCTGATGCCAGTTAAGTTCATGCTACGAACATATTTGCAGACTGATGGAGTATTCAACACGATTATGAACAGTTTGAAGCTTTCGAAAGATGGAGTGATCCGCACATTGATCGACGGTTCTATATGGCAGGCGAGAACTGCAAAAATGTGTTGCAGAACCGTGATTCCCATCAATATATACTTCGATGATTTCACTACCAGCGATACTTCCTCTTGTCATTCCAAGTCAACATCTATTTGTGCCATATATCTGAATGTTCCATGTCTACCAGCTTATCTACTAGGGAAATTAAGTAACATTTTAACTGTAGGATTCGTCAAGAGCGAAGATAGAAAAAAGTTCAGTAACGATAAAACTCTTTCCAAATTGATTGATCTATTGATTGATTTAGAGGTAGAAGGCATCACAGCCAGAATTGAAGGAGAAGAGAAAAAAGTGTTCTTTATTCTTGGGTTTATCCTTGGAGATAACCTAGGAGTAAATGGTATTTTAGACTATGTTGAAAGTTTCAGATTTTAACGAGAGAAAAAATAACTTCAATTACGGCATACACTATTCAAATAATATTATACATGATATTCAGGAGAATCAAATAAAAATGAAGAGAATCAAATGCACTGCCAGTGAATCTAAGACATTGATCACTTTCCTTCCGTTGATTATAGGCCCTCTAGTTCCTGAAAAAGATGATGTATGGCAGCTTGCATGCGCATTAGTGAAAATTGTTCACACTTCACTATTGAGAGAAGTTCCGTACGCATTAGTCAATGAGCTTAGATCGATCATAAAAGTTCATCATACTCAGTATGTAAAATTGTTTCAAGATACCCTAAAACCCAAACATCATAACTTAGTACACTATCCCAGTGCTATTTTGAAAGGAGGTGCTCTTCGATCACACTGGTCAATGAGATTTGAAGCTAAACATAGAGAGCCTAAAGCATATTGTAAAATTAACAGTAACCGTATAAATATGTGCTCATCTATAGCCATTAAAGCCAACTTCAAGTTTGCATACAATTATATCAATAATAATTTCATAACTCCAAAATTTGCATATGATAATAGTCAAGTATATTTGAATCAATTCCAACCTCAACATGATCAGTACATTGATTTCAATTCATACAAAATTGATAAAACATCCGTTAAATTTTTAAAAAGTTTTTTTAAATGTGAAGCACTCTACAAAAGAGGATCAATATTCAGTATCCTCTTAAAGGAAACAATTAGCATTTTCGAAATAATAGAAATTTTTCTAAGCAACGATAGTGAATTGTTGATTCTATGTAAGAAGTTTCAGGTTATTAAGTTTAACGAACATTATCAATCCTATGAAATGCATACAAAAACTATAACTACGTTGGTGAACAACATAGAGTCCCGTGATTCTGAGCTTATTAATTTGCATAATGTAAATGGCACTACATATTTACGAACATGTAACTATTACAAAACTTAGAAGAGAAACAGAAATGTAATGTAATGTAATGTAAACATTATTGTATTTGCCAAGGAATATCTCAAGTCTAATTAATAAAATAAATCCCAGTAAAATATTCAAAATCTGTACAAGATTTGTACTGGCGGTGAACGCATAACTGTCCATGATCTATGCAATACGACTGTTTTGCTTCCATCGGCAGTCTAGATATATGAAAGAAAACACACAAATTCAGCAGGGGTAATAAAAAAAACAATTAATTCTAACAAATTTTTTGGTTGTATCAAACGAGATCGTTGGTTACTTCTAGCATTTCGTTGTTCATTTCAACCAACGAGTTAGTTGGCATTGAACTAAACTTTGTTTGGAATAAACTATATGATTTGTTTGAATTTACCTTGTTTTATCAGCTGTCAAAATCAAACAACCAACATTATGGTTATTTAAAACAAATGTTTGTTGAATTTAGGTTGGAAACAGAAACAATAAACAACCTCACATTTTAGTTTATTTCAAACATCAAAGTTTGTCAGGGTAAACTAAAAATATGTTTGTGCAATTTTCAACATGGAAATTTGGTTGAAGCAACCTAAAATATGGTTGTTTTTACCATACTTTTCTCTCCGTGTAGCCTTCCACTTGTGCAGGACATAAGGACATAAGAAACATCAAATATGTTCCCATTCTCATACAGGAAATGAAACGTTGATGAAATTTTCTTCTCCACTCCTGTATGCATGTCGAGGTCCAGTAAATTTACCAGCTATGAGCTCCCGAATGCGAAGTAAAACAGATTCAACTGGCATACTTTACTTTTTCTATCACTCCCTCTCTCTTAAAACCACATTAATCCAAATTTTGGATGTTTGGGGATGTTTAGATTTGATTTTAAAATAAAAGTAAACAACCCTATTTTAGTGGCTTTGGACTTTCCAAATCATTGAACCCGTTTATCTCCGTAAATAAGGCCTTAAAAGGCTAAAATTTTCTTTAAGGAGAAGTTCACTACTCCGAAAAAATAATAAACGATTTATAAAAATATTGGAAAAAGACATCAAAAATCTAAAACAATCACAATGAAGTAATGAAATTGAGTTGTTACTGGAATGCTTAAATAAAATGGCAAAAAAGGTTATCTTTCATTTAATTAAACAAAATTAATTTTGGTATCCATGACAGATATGTACGTATTTCGACTACAATGTGCAATCTTCATCAGTGTCATTCCAAAAGTAAGGGGGTTAGATTTTGATAAGTTCTTTAGAAAGAATGACACTGATGAAGACTACATTGTAGTCGAAATACGTATCTGTCATGGATACCAAAATTAATTGAGAGGAATTAAATGGAAGATAACCTTTTTCGCTGTTTTATTTAAAAAAACAATCACATTTTTTTTCTATTTAAAAAAAATTCAAGTGCAAACACATTTTTATAAGTCATCATAGCATAAAATTGGACTTAAGCAAACACAAAAGATCAACCTTTCGGTTTTGCTGAAGGTCAGTATTTTTTTTAATTATGGGATTGAACAAATATTTTAACATGCAAATTTCCTCAGGAATCTGTTAAAATAAGCTGATTTGCTTGAATTTTTGATAATTTTTCCCAAAATTTTTAGAAAAATAAAAACGTTACGAAAAAAAAATATTTTCGGGGTGGTGAACTTCCTCTTAAACGCCAAAATGGATTCCTAAATTACATTGACATTTTCAAAAAGTCGTAAACGCCAAAATTGTTATTAAAATACAAACTTTTGTTTTTGAGAAGAATGGTTGTAAATATTCCTGTTATGCGAGACTTTCTTTTGTAGGTATGATTGATTTGTTCACATCGAAATCATTGATACATTTGATGTTTCTGCTTGATATGCCGGGCGCTTATGCCAAAGTAGCTCTTTACCCCATTTATGGCGTTCGACTAAATAATGAATAATGTCAACAAAAACATTCGAACCGGCAAACCCTATTCTCCCGCAGCCAAACATCTCATTCAGCTCTCTCCCCATCATCTCCCCATACCTGCGTGAAAGTGGAGTACAGTAATCCCTCCATTAATGCGATCGGTGGTACCGTCCGCCAGCCACTGTTTCTCGGTCTTTCTTCAACCAATTACGCTGATTTATTGTATGTGATAACTGCCAACCATAAACTAGTTATCTACAGAAAATTTGCTCAATTGGTTGAAGGACCGCCGAGAAATTGCGATGGGTGGACGCTACCACCCACCGCATAAAGGGAACGAATACTGTATTTGGTATCGTGCACTTCTTTTGTGCTCATTCACCTCGTGCTTGCAGCCAATAAGAGATGCAGACACCCGTTGAGAAGAGAGATAGAGAGAGCGAACAGAGGGCAAACCCCTACAGATATCAATATCAACAACATCAGTACAACATTTTTCCGTTGTTTCGCTGTGAGAGCGAGGAAAACTCGTCTTTTGTTGGAAATGCTTTAGCTGAAGTTAGTTAGGATTGATTTGGTGACATGGAGCAAACTCAATCACTCTTGCATCATCCAGATTTTTGAACGCCGTAATTACATCGCTGTGCATGATTGCTAAATTTCGCAACCCAAATGACGCTTTCAAAATCTTGGAAATCATAAACGTGAAAAATCGGCGAGAGTAATAATTTGTAGGGAGAGCAATGAGCTGCTTATGATTTTCTCTCATTCTCCGCAAAAAGAAAATTCATTCATCCCATTTTGAGGTGACGCATGAAATCGTCCTTTGGGACACCTTCACAGTGATTGAAGAAAATAATTCTGAACTGATTTAATCGGTGTCGGTGGAAAAAGGACATTCGCATCACTAGCTGGCACTGAGTCGATATTAATTTCAATCACCAACCTTTTCATCCTTGACTCACATTTCCGATCCTTCATAACTAGTCACCGCCAACACACCGGCATCGGGACGGATTCCGTCATCCACCCACGCACACTAGGGAGCGAAAAAAAAAATATGAAGGTATTCAATTTACTGACACCGTAAACACCATATTGATGTGTTTATTTTGCTTTGCACACTCCGTTGCGTCAGTTCTGGTGGTTGATGGCGAGTTAACAAGTGTGAAAGAAGCTACATACCAATTACAATAGGTAATGTACATAACATTTATTCAGCTTTGTTTCCCCCTTTGTCGCGGCTTTGTCGTCCGTTCGTCCTTTGATGGTTGACTGACAGAAATAGATTTGCACCTGTTTAGGCGTCATCGGAAATAGGAAGAATGTTGTGGAATTTACAAGTAGGTTACGGTATTGCATTAGTAGGTTACGGTATTACATTGCGCAAATTGTGAAAATATAGGTAAGTTGATTAGAGAACATTAAATTTACAAATTCAAGAAATTTAGATATTTTTAGAAAGTTTCATGATATTCAGCGAAGTTCCGTGTACTTCGAGAACGATCAAATAACTTCAGAACAATCTCATTAACTAAATGAAATTTGGAGTTCCGTGGAATTATGGGATATTCCGAGAATTCTATGATTGATCCGAAAACTTCAGAAGCGTCAGGGAATTAGAAATATAGGGCAAATTATGGCTTCGACAGCCATCGACTGTTTTCGGCAACCACAATTTAAACGTTAATTTCGCTGTATTTTCTCACTAAAACACTTCGCTGAATGTATTTAAACGATTCCTTAGTCTTTCAGCTTCAATCCTAATACATT